TCTCGCAGTCTGGGACCCCTCGGGAGATAACGACCTGCTGGCTTAGGCCTGCTCTGGGTGGCAGAGGGCAGGCCCAATCCCTAGGTGCAGCCCCTGTTCGGGCTCATAGCAGGGCCGATTGGGGAGTTGGGGCGCCGCCCCCTGTAATGCACAGAGCAGGGCCCATCAGGGGGGTTGGGGCACCATACCCTGTCACACACAGAGCAGGGCCGATCAGGGGGTTGGGGCGCTGCCCCCTGTCACTCACAGAGAAGGGCCCATCAGGGGGGTTGGGGCTCCGTACCCTGTCACACACAGAACAGGGCCGATCAGGGGGTTGAGGAGCTCCCCCATGTCACGCACAGAGCACGGCCGATCAGGGGGTTGAGGAGCTCCCCCCTGTCACTCACAGAGTAGGGCCAATAGGGGAGTTGGGGCACCGCCCCCTGTCACACACAGAGCAGGGTGGATCAGGGGGTTGGGGCACCGCCCTCTATCACTCACAGAGCAGGGCCGATCAGGGGGTTGGGGCGCAGCACCCTGTCACACACAGAGCTGCAGGGCAATCAGGGGGTTGGGGAGCTACCCTCTATCAAGCACAGAGCAGGGCTGATCAGGGGGTTGCGGCGCCTTCCCTTGTCACGAACAGAGCAGGGCGGATAGGGAGGTTGTGGCCCCGCCCCCTGTCACACACAGAGCCGCAGGGCGATCAGGGGGTTTGGTCGCTGCCCCCTGTCACACTGATCCTGGCACCGGGAGGCCTCGCGGCTCCGCTGATCCCGGTGCTGGGAGGCATATTACCCTTTTACTATATAGGATAGAGGCCTGGTGCACGGGTGGGGGCCGGCTGGTTTGCCCTGAAGGGTGTCCTGGATCAGGGTGAGGGTGCCCACTGGGGTGCCTGGCCAGCCTGGATGAGGGGATGATGGCTGTATGCAGCTGGTCACACACCCTTCAGGGTGGGGGTCCCCACTGGGGTGACTGGCCAATCTGGGTGAGGGGCTGAGGGCCGTTTTCAGGCTGGCGGGTGACTGAAGCTCCCAACCTGTCCTTTTTTCCTTTTTTTTTTTTTTTAATTCTGGGCCAGCTTTAGCTCTGAGGCTCGGCTCCAGCTATGAGACCTCCGCTGCTGAAAACAGGTTTCTGGTCTTTGTTTACCGTCTGTATTTGAAACAATGTTGCGGTCTGGCTGGCTGAAGCCTGGCTGACTGAAAACAGGTTTCTGGGGTTTTGTTTAGCTTCTATATGTGTTACAGTGTTTCTTAGAGAGCAGCTGAGAGGCCGGCAAGGCAGGCGGGAACCTGGCTTCCTCCGTAACTGGAGCAAGCAAGCCTCCCTGTTCGCATCAGCTGCCTGGCTGCCGGCCGCCATCTTGGCTGGCAGTTAATTTGCATATCTCAGTGATTAGCCAATGGGAAGGGTAGCGGCCGTACGGCTAATTACTATGTTTCTCTTTTATTAGATAGGATGGTGCTAATGAAGTGCCAAGTGTGTATTCCTTTTACCCAGCAGCTGTCCTTTTCAGAGTTTGTCTGAAGGCGATGACAGCACATGTGGAAGTGTGCCCTCATCACAGTGTTGTTTAAAGGAATGAGAAATTCTAACCCAACCTGAATGTCAGTAGGGAGTTCAGAGGATTGGTTTGGCCCTAGCTTCAGTAGGACATCACAGTCACTGACAATGGGGGCGAGAGGTCTATATTTATTGATTTGGGAAGATTTCCATGGCATATTGAGTGAAAGCTATATATCCTATATAATAAAAGCATAGTATGCAAATTGTCCCCTCAGGCGGGAGTTCGACCACGGGGTGGGGCCGGCCGGCGAAGGGAGAGAGGCCCTGGCAGCAGCAGGCGGCTGGGGAAGGGATGGAGTACCCGGCTGGCAGCTGCTAGGGACCCTGCCAGTGCATGCATTTTGTGCACTGGGCCTCTAGTGTGTATATATATGAAATGGACCCCTTCATGTAAAATTCCTGTGCACAGTGTACATGCACAGATGTCTCAAGGGATGTTCATCAGCATATTAGCAGGCTTATCGTTGGGCAGGGGGGTTTAGAGTGACCTTACGTTGGATTCATGCCCACTCGGACTGTCCCTCTGTCCCCTCGGTTAGCCGTGCTGTTTTGTTTGGTTTTCCAAGCGGCGCTTTTACAAAGAAAGGAGCCGGCATTTAGTGAGCACCTACTACAGACAGGCCTCTTTTCTTGAGCGTCTCTTCTTGAACAATTCAGTTCGCATCTAAGTTGTCTGCAGGAAATATGTCTTGGTGTTCGAACCAAACTTCGGTTTTCCACCTGACAGCCCTTTCATGCTGATACCTCATCGTGACAAAAGGGGTGTCTCAGGCAACAAATAGAGGAGGGAATGCTAATGTTGCTAAGGGTGTGAAAGAAACAGTGGTCACAGTTGAAGAGGTAGGAAAACTGTTGTTGATTTGGATAAAGGAAAGCAGTGAGCCAGCGACAGCATTCCAGAGGCAGTGATACCTGAACAAGCAAAGACGCTACATGCTGACCTGAAAGGCACCCTGGAACGAAGGCGGTGGTTTGATATATTTTAGAAAAGAAGTGTGTATTTATAGATTCAACAGTACATTAGACATGTACTATATATAAAAAGGTTAAAACAGAATCATCTGCGGGTCTAGAATGGATTGATTCAATTCACATTATTTCTAACGGGAAGACATGATTCGGTTTTCGAGCAGATTGCTCTGGAGCAGCATTCCAAGTGGATTAAGTTCGAGGTCTGAATTCCACTGGATATTGCAGGCAATTTGTTAAAACTCTTAGCCCTCCTGTGTATTCCCTAAGGTCAGTGTGTTATTGTTCCTATTGGACTGACAAAGAATTTTAAGCTCAGCTGGCCAGCAGGGGTGGTAGCCGGGATCCCACCCCAGATCTTTATTTATAAAGCCCTTGCACCTGTTCCTATACTCAGCCTCAGAGCACCAGAGAGGCTTGGAGCTGAGGCTGGCTGGGGGTTATCTAGTCCTGGCAGAGAAGTACTGTGACTTGCTCAAGGTCTTAAGATAGCTAGGGGAGGAACAAGACTGTGCACATGGGTTCTGTGACTATGCTTTTGCTGTACTGCACATGGCCTTGACTTAGGAGGCTTTGGTTAGTTCTCAGATTGGCCACTATCTGAACTTCTTGACTTGAGTAAGTCTCTCTCTTTGGTCTTTATTTTCCTCATTTGCAAAGAGGATAATACAGTCTGCATCTCAGATTATTGTGAGATTACTCAGATTCACCCCAAAGTGCCTTAAAAACAATAAAGTATAATACGAGTGTGAAATACTGATTTTAGTCTTGTCAATGTAAGAAATGTTCAAACCTGTAGAGGTTTTTATTATTTTATTTGAGCCAAAACGATATTTGCCGGGGAGCAAGATCTCAAGTGCTCTGGAGAGTAACAGTTTTTTTTATTTTATGCATTTGGAATTAAGGAAGTATTATATGGAGGTAGGAGAAAGCAAGGCGGAGATTGGATTACAGGCACTATTCCAGTTAACAAGATAATGTGCTCTTGAGGGTGGTTACACTTATTTCAAAGGTGTGTTAACCTAGATCAGCGGTTCTCAACCTGTGGGTCGCGACCCCTTCGGGGGTCAAACGACCCTTTCACGGGGGTCGCCTAAGACCATCGGAAAACACATATATAATGACATATTGTTTTTGTGACTAATCACTATGCTTTAATTATGTTCAATTTGTAACAATGAAATTGGGGGTCACCACAACATGAGGAACTGTATTAAAGGGTCGCGGCATTAGAAAGGTTGAGAACCACTGACCTAGATGTACAGAAACAAGGGACAGGGCTTGCTTGACAAAAAATAAGTCTTTACTAAAGAAATTCCATGCCTGAGTGTGACTCCCCAGGGCTTATATTGCCATCATTTTTATGATGGCTAATGGATCTTTCCATAACTGGCTCAGTGGTCTAATACATGATGTTGAAGTACAAAGGCATATTTGTGAAGTGAGTTATTTGCACATTTTGAAGTGAACATGCAGCCTACAACCTAGGTTAAGTATAAGAAAGTAAAACATACTAAAATTTGAGATGCCTACTAAAATAGACTCAGAGAGCAGGCTAACTGATGGGAGGGGGCGGTGTTTAAAGGGCTGGAGTGGTGGTGGAGAGTTGAGCAAGAAGGAAAAAAAAAACGGGCAGGGCATGTCACCCACAAAATTAAAAAAGAAAGGTGAAGCCAGCCTCCTGGAAGTAAGCTGGAGGTGCCCGGTTAGTTTGGCCAGCAGGTGGCACACGCAGCAACACTGTCAGTGAGATGGTCGTAATTCATTGTGAACTGGTTAGTTTTAAGAGACGGGTTTGTAATTGTTCCAAAAATTGCACCAAGGCAAAGCAGAGCCCAGCCTGATGCGAACGTGTTGTTTCGGCGTTAGCAGTACTGCCCTCACTAGACGTTCATTGGACAGTAGCGCAACCCCAAGAAAAGGATGGTTGGCATTGTATTTAGGGTGCGCCGCTGGCAGTGCTGGCCAATACCTGGTTGGGTTGTGGTGACTAATTTGCAAGTCCCGGCCTCGCTGCGCGTTAGTGCACTTAAGTTGACTGCAGCTCCCAAAGCAAACTACCAATTCCTAGTTTTCTGAGGCTTTTGAGAGAGAGAGCAAAGAGGCCGCTCGGTTTTACCCAGGAGGCCACGCGCCAGCTGCGAGACAATTTGCATATGCGCTCCTCGCTGGGGCGGGGCCAGCGGGCGGGGCTGCGTCTTATTCTCCCATTCTCGGCTCACGGGACTTGCAGCCAGGCTGTAGGAGCTTTTTATTTCGTTTTTCGCCTCCGACCGTTTGCTTTTGAAAAACGGCTCTATTTGTACAAGAGCAGCCCTCTTGATGACCAGTGTAATCATGCCAGTCGGCACGCGCTCTCTGGGCCCTGGGACAGCGCTTGAGCCAGAAATGTGGGGGCGCCCTGGGAGCTGCTGGGCGAGGGCCCTGGGGCTGAAGCCGGCTGCTCACGGGGTCTCGGTGTTTCCCATTCATTGCAGGTGGCTCTTCTGGGCATGGACATCCTATCCGCGCTAGTCACCCGGCTGCAGGATCGGTTCAAGGCTCAGATTGGCACAGGTGAGCTGTGGGCAAGTGTGGGGCGGGTCCCCAGACTCTCCTCCCTCTGGCCTCCAGGCTCTTCAGTCTCCCCAAATCCTGCAGTTAGCCGTGCCCAACCTCCCCGCCAGCGCCCCTGCTCCCCTCCTACCCGTCAACCATCTCCTTTAGCCTCAGCCTCCTGCTGGGGCTGCACCACTGCCCTCCCTGACCTCCTGAGATCCCCATCCTTTCCAGACCCCGCCCTCCATTTGTGTGCTTCCAGCATTTGTGTTTTAGCACGAAGTATTACTGCTAATTTTTTTTATTTCTGTTCAAATTAGCTGTCCTAATTTAGCGCTGGCTGGGCCCTGACCCCCCTCTGAGAACAGTCCTTCCCTCTAAGCCAGTGGTTCTCAACCTTCCTAATGCCGCGACCCTTTAATATAGTTCCTCATGTTGTGGTGACCCCCAACCATAAAATTATTTTTGTTTCTACTTCATAACTGTAATTTTGCTACTGTTATGAATCGTAATGTAAATATCTGATATGCAGGATATATTTTCATTGTTACAAATTGAACATAATTAAAGCATAGTGATTAATCACAAAAACAATATGTAATTATGTATGTGTTTTCCGATGGTCTTAGGCGACCCCTGTGAAAGGGTCGTTCGACCCCCAAAGGGGCCGCAACCCACAGGTTGAGAACCGCTGCTCTAAGCCGTCCTGCAGATGCCAGCAGTCCTGTGCTTCCAGGCGATGGGACTGCTGTTACCTCTCACTTTGTTACATCCTTACAAGCGTGTATTAAATCATCACTCTCTTACTTTGAAGGGAAAACAGTATGTCTGTAAAATGAAATGAAAATAACCACAGGTTTTATAGGTCCAGAGATAATTTCATCTCTAAATTCCTGACCTCTGCGAGTTTATGACAACATGAGCACCAAGCAGATCTGTGTGTGTGAGCATTTCTCACAGATGTCTCTGTGTCAGTTGGTCTACATATACCTGGTATCTGTTACTTTCTTTTAACTTTCTGGTTAGTGTGCTCCTGTGGATAAGGTTGAGCTCTTTTCCCATTCAAATAAAACCCCCTTACTTTAGAAATTCAACATTTTAATAGGGTTTCACTTTCCTCCTAAATTAACTGAATTGGTCAGGAATATCTTTTGTAAAAGAAAGGTTCATATTCATAGACTCTTAGAAGAATCTGACCTCTGGGATGCCTGTGCGTTTGGAGCACTGGCCAGTGGCCCGCCCCTGGGTGCCTGGAGGAGAGGGGGGGAGAACAGATGCGCTCCGCGTAGGGGCAGGATAAGCACGCCTGTGTCTTATGTAAAACAGAGACAAAGGGTAGGTTGAGCCATAAGTGTCTGCACCTACCCCCAAGGAAATGTGCTGGAGCCCATCTCTCTTACCTGAATTTTCTTTTGTATTGACTCTTTCCTGCTAAGGTCTCCATTGACATCTTTTTTAAATATTTGACCAGCATGAAGATGTTGGGAGGTGGCTGGAGGAATGTGTGAGTCAGAAGACACATATACCCATGCAAAAAGGATTCTGCTGATTCTTAGAGTAGTTCCCTGGACTTTAAGGAGAACAGTGCTGTGGGGATTGGTGGGTTTTTTTGTTTTTATTTTTTAAAATATATTTTATTGATTTTTTACAGAGAGAAAGGGAGAGGAGGGAGAGGGATAGAGAGTTAGGAACATCGATGAGAGAGAAACATCGATCAGCTGCCTCCTGCACACCCCCCACTGGGGATATGCCTGCAACCAAGGTACATGCCCTTGACCGGAATTGAACCTGGGACCTTTCAGTCCGCAGGCCGACGCTCTATCCACTGAGCCAAACCGGCTACGGCATTGGGGGGCGGGGATTGGTGGTTTTAGATGAGGGACCTCATTTCCGCTAGGATTTGTCTTCCCAGTTAATGGAAATATCAACAGTTGGTGACACCTCCCCACCCCAACAGTTGTTCATTTGATCACTTTGCATTTTGATTTCCAGTGCTGCCAAGTTTAATCGACAGACTGGGAGATGCTAAAGACTCCGTGAGGGAGCAGGACCAGGCTCTGCTGCTAAAGATCATGGATCAAGCTGCTAATCCCCAGGTAGGGCGTTCGGTGGCCCGCGGCAGGCATGCGGGTGCTCCCCTAACATCGGTGGGTTACTCCATACAGAAAGAGGATTTATTTTAATCTGATGTATTGCAGATGGAAATTTTCATAGCCCCCCCCCCATATTTAAATAAATAATAAATAGCAAAGGGTGTATTTTGAATAAATTAGTGGATTTAATATGGGTTTTGAGTGCTTGGTTTAATCTATAAACTTGAGCTCATTTATGTAACCGATTCTGTATTTCTTTGAAAAGAGCAATTATGATGTCTGGGTGTCAGGAGGCCTGGCTGGTCTCTGTCTGCTAGTGAGCTGGGGCCGCTGGGACCCAGACACAGCCCTGCCTTCCAGAGTCTAGCTGTGCATTGCTGGGGAAGGGGCATGTTATTGGAAAAATCCTTCTAGGGAAGGTGAAAACTGTACTGGCTTTCAGAGATGAGCAGACGGTGGGCTCTGGGTGGGTGGAGACGGCTGGTCCAGGCGGGAGAGCAGTGTGGGTGTGACCTTTGAAGTCACCCAACCTTTTGCGACCTCCCTTTCCTCACCCGTGAAATGGGGGCAGCTATACCTCCTGCTGGGGTCGTTGGGAGAGTGAAATACAATTATATGAAGAAATGTGTTTGGAGGAAATTTAAGTTGATACACAAATAGTCACCATTTTCAGTGTGCTCGGCTGAAGATGACGAAATGGGGGGTAGCGGCTGGGACTGGCCCCTGTGGAGAGTCCCTCTTCTCCTGGCCCCGAGTTAAACAAAAGGCTGCGGGAGTCTCCTCTCTTTTCACCTGTCCGTTGCCATCCGCAGTACGTGTGGGACCGGATGCTGGGCGGCTTCAAGCACAAGAACTTCCGGACTCGGGAAGGCATGTGTGTCTGCCTTGTCGCCACACTCAATGCGTAAGTCTGGGCGGGGCCTGAGGATTTTCTTGTCTGAGCTTTTTCATTTTTAACTTTTTATTTTGAAATAACTATTGATTTCAGGAAGTTGTAGAGAAATGTATTGGGAGAGTCGTGCAAACCCCCTCTCCCTCCTTCCCTCAATGTTACCATGTTGCCTGTGCAATGACAACACAGGAAATTAATACTGATACAACCCACGGCGCTTATTCACATTCCTCCAGTCACACACATGTGAGTGCAGTTCTGCACAGCTCTGTCACGTGTGTAGTTCCATGTCAAGGTACTAAGCTGTGCGTCACCCCAGGCTCCCTCACACTGCCCCTTTGCAGTTAGTCCCTAACCTCTGGCAGCCACTAGTCCATTCTCCACCTCGATGGCTTTATTCCAAGAATGTTATGTAGATGTAATCATACACAGTGTAACCCTTTGAGATTGGCTTTTTTCATTCCACTTGAGGTTGCATATATGTTGCTTAAACAATGGTTCATTTCTTTTTATTGCTGAGTAGAATTCCATGCATAGACATATCAGGATTTGTTTAACCATTCAGCTGTTGAAGGACATTTGAATCACTCCCAGTTTTTTGCTGTTACAAATAAAGCTGCTATGAACACTTGTACAAGTTTGTTTCAGCATCAGCTTTCATGTCTCTTGGGTCAGTGCTCAAGAGTGCAATGGCTGTGCACTGGTAAGTTTATTTTTAGTTTTTTTAAAATAACTTTCTCCCCTTTGTCTGACTGATGTCCCCAGTGGGTGCACCACTTCCCAGAAGTACTACAATACCAGGTGGATGCGAGGTGTGGATGGAGCGAGCTCCTAGGCCATTTCTCTCCTCCAAAAATCCACTTGATATGCTGCCCTTGGGTGGAGGCCGTATCCGGTGTTAAACTGATAAGGCTAAGTGATCATTTTTAGTTTTAAAAGAAACTGCCAAACTATTTTCCCAAGTTGTCTATACCATTTTACATTCCCACCAGCAATGTGTGAATGAATCAATTTCATCACATCCCTGCTAGCATTGAATGTTATCACTATTTTAATTTTAGCCATTTTGATATGTGTGTGGTGATATCTCATGGTGAGAATTTGTATTTCCTTATGTGACTGTTGATGTGATTATTTTTCATGTGCTTATTTGTAGGAAAGGCTTTTTTAAAATTGAAATTATAAATCATCTTTTCTGATTGTGTTACAAAAAATTTAAATAAAGAAGAAAATGATGATTACCCATAATTCTAGCACCTTCAGATAATCACTGTTAACTGTGGTGCATTTTACTCCAGTCTCTAAAGTTACATTATTTTTATAAGCAAAATTGGGATGATAACATTTCTATCACCATGTAAATTCCCCCTCCTAAGGTGTTAGCCTTCTTAGTGCCATTAAATTTGGCCATATGTATAGGAAACTTTAAAAAAAAAATGTTTCTAGCCTTTGATTGTAGTAGTTTCACTTTTTTTTTTCAAATATATTTCTTTATTGATTTCAGAGAGGAAGGGAGAAGGAGAGAGAGATAGAAACATCAATGATGAGAGAGAATCATTGATTGGCTGCCTCCTACACACCCCCTATTGGGGAATGAGCCCACAACCCAGGCATGTGCCCTTGGCCGGAATCGAACCTGGGACCCTTCAGTCCACAGGCAGACGCTCTATCCACTGAGCCAAGCCGGAGAGGGCTGATCGTAGTAGTTTCACTTCTAAGAGTTTATCCTAAGGAAGCAGCCAGCTTTCCAGAGAGTTGTGTTCACAAAGGCTGTCTGTGCCAGTGCTTACGATGCGGGCCCTTGTGAACACATGCTCGCCCCAAGCAGGGTCAGTCGGAATCCTCTGCAGCCACTTCATCAGTCTCATTCAACTCTTACTACCTGAATGCTAGTGCGCGCATCGGGCTGTGCACAGTTTAGTTGAGTGTGCCAAGCTGGGCAGAGTAGGAGCCATTACATGAAAAAACAGTAATGCAGAGACAGCCATGTGGGAGGTGAGCTGGCTGGAAGGGCTGAGGCTTGGCTTGGCCCAGCGTGGGGCCAGGTGGAGAGAGCCCGAGTGCCAGGGCGAAGACATGCCAGGGAGAGGCACTCACGCTTCCGAACTCAGTGCCCAGGGGCCGCCACAGCACCTTTATTTTGGATCCAGGTGGGAAAGGGATGGAGAAGATGGGAAGACGAGAGCCCGGTGCGAGGGGTGATAGGCCCTGGGCACGGAGGGGAGGGTGAGTGTGGGCAGAGTAGCTTCTGTTTCTTCTTTCTCACTGATGATAAAACACTCCTTTTGTTTTCAGCTCCGGAGCACATACTTTGACACTAAACAAGATTGTGCCACATATATGTAATTTACTTGGAGATCCAAACAGTCAGGTGAGTGTGTTTCCCTGAGAATGGTCATTGGTTTAGACAGCTAACATGCTTGTTGGTGTTCTATGTATACCTGATGGTGGGTGGGACTATTCATCCTTATAGAACTCTGATTACTGTTTAAGATCATGAGCCCATTAGCGTTTATAAGATATCATTGGTAAATGTGGCGGCCACTCTGCCCTCTTTCCACATGGGGCTGAGATTTCAAGAGCCTGTAAAGTGATGTCCTCCAGACCAGCCTCCAGGATCCCATCACTCTGGCCACCATCTCTGCAGCCAGAAGAGGGTGGGCCTCGGGGAGGATGCCCAACACTGATTGGAGGTGAACACTGTGGGTGGGGATTGACCGGAAGTTGTGAGGGGACTGCTCTAGGCCTGGAAACGTTCATGGTTTGCTTTGGGTAGCCGCCATGCTGGTGTGTACCTGTGGAAACTCCTCGAACCCTTGACAACTGTAGATATTTTATATAAAATTTACCTAAATTCAAAAACAAAACACGAAAACGAGGCCCCACTTCCTGAGCTGACGGGAGGGAGAGGAGTGGGTAACCTGTGGCCAGGTGCCATCTCCCCGGGCTGGGCAGGTCTGGGCCAGCTCGTTCACAGCTGAGTCCTCTCCTCTGGTCCACAGTCACTCGTGCAGGCTGTTAAGAAAACATTTCAGGGTTGAAAATAGGAAAATAGGAACACAAACTTACCAAGGATACATTTGTATAGTAAACAGGTCTTCAGTTTATGTATTTTTATTTTAAAATTTTTTATTAATTGATTAATTTGAGAGAGGGAGGAAAAAGAAAAAGAGAGAGAGAGAGAGATTTGTCATTCCACTTATTTCTGCATTCACGGGTTGATTCTTGTATGTGCCCTGACTGGGGGATCAAACCTGCAACCTTGGCACTTGGGGATGATGCTCTGATCAACTGAATCCCAGCCAGGGCTGAACAGGCCTTCGTGATTGCTCAAGTCCCTGCAGAGAGCCTCGCCGTGCTCTCCTGCTTCCCCCAGCTCCTGGGACCCTCCCATTCATTGTCTTATCCTTTCTTCTTGGCCCTGAACCCCAGTTGCACTTTCGCACCCTCTCAGCTGCTGCTCTGCTGCTCTTCTCCCCAGCCTGGCGTCTCAGGCTCACTGCCCCACTGTCTCGTCTCCTCGGCTGGCGCCTACTTCTCTCCATTCATCTCTTACCCAGCCGCATTGAAAATATATAGTTAACATCCAAATACAATTGTTAGACATTTTTATTTATGGAATCATACTTTATGTTCAGCATTAATTTAAAAATTCTAGATTACCCAATGAGTTATTGGCCCCCGCCCCTTTTTGGCGTTGTCTCCATTTTTGTTTTCTGTGGAAAAGTCCTTTATAGAGGCCACACTTGGAGGGCATCCTTTCGTGGAGCAGGAAAGCCAGCCTGGCTAGTTGAACTTGCTTGTCCCTAATGCAGGTGCTTACTTAGCCACAGGTGATGAGTAGTCACGCTGGGCCTGTGGGAGATGGACATTTCTGGTGAAATGAGGTTGGTGCTCCCTGGGCAGCTGTTAGCAATCTGACAGTCAGAGCGTTCCAGATGGAGTGCTCAGGGGTCATGTACTCACACCTGCTTTTGGAGTGTGTGGTCTGCACGGATGCATGTGCAAGTGCAGACGCACACGAGCCGCATCCCCAGCACCCTCCTGCAGGAAACTTCCCAGCCGCTTCTCTGATCCCATGCCTCCTTCACCTGAGGCTATTTTCCACGGATTTTCTTAGAGTGACAGGTGGGGGAGAGGCACAGAGAGGGAGACACCAATGTGAGAGAGACACATCGGTTGGTTGCCTCCCACACGCACTTGGACCAGACACCAGACATTGAGCCCACCACCAAGGTACGTGCCCTTGACCGGAATGAAACGGAAGACCCTTCTGGGCTTGGCCGATGCTCTAACCACTGAGCAACCGGCCAGGACTTGCCTTTAACTTTTCATTAGTCTGGCCTTTGAGGGTCAGGACTGTGACTGGCTCCTCTTCCTTGTCCCAGGACTGCCTTCCAGCAGTGCGAGGGTTCAGTAGACACCCCACAGCTGCTTGAATGACTTGCCCTTCTTAGCATTTGTCTCAGGCCAGAGAGGACAGTGGTATCTGGGCAGTGCTGCCGCTGTGCTCCCTGCCTTCAGCTCTCGTGCGGGGAGTTCGCCTGGCTCTGCAAGAGGCCGCTGACACTGGGTGTGAACTCTGGACACCTCTCCTTTAGAGGGCGTGAGTTCATTTGCATATTGGTCTTGGCAGAGTGACTCTAAGTGGGAAACCCCTCCGTACAGATAGAGGGGTGTTGCTTAGGATGCTTTCGCTGGAGCCGTGGGAGAAGGCATTGTCCTGCATCATGAGGAGGGGCTCTAGGCTTTGTTAGTGAATAGTCATTTCTCAGAGACTGGCTCAGTCCTTGGGCTTTGTCCTTGGCAGCTGTCCCCAAAGACACAGCGCAGGCCCAGCCCAGCCGCCTGCATGCTCCGCCTGCCTGGTTGACGAAAGCCTGGTGCTTCCCAAGTTCCGCCTGTTTTAACTTTTCTGCCCTGAGAGCTTGAAACCTGCACGGACACTGAGAATGAGAGTGCATCTCATTGCCATCATCGAGCTTCAGCAGCTGATGAGACAAGGCCAGTTTAGTTCCATCTGTGCTCCCTCCCCCATCCCAATATTTTGAAGCAAATCTTAGACAGCATTTCATTTACTTCTTTAAAAAAATGTATTTATTGATTTCAGAGAGGAAGGAGAGGGGCAGAGAGATAGAAACATCAGTAATGAGAGAGAATCATTGATTGGCCACCTCCTTCACACCCCGTACTGGGGATTGAGCCCACAAGCCAGCCATGTGCCCTGACCAGGAATTCAACCATGACCTCCTGGTATATAGGTTGATGCTCAACCACTGAGCCACACAGGTCGAGCTCATTTAATTCTTAAATACTGTAAAAGATAAGACTCTTTTCATACATAACCTTAACACTGTATTCCCTCCTGTCCACCAGGAACGAGTGGTTCTCAGGTTATCAAGTCCCCGCCAGCGACCCCTTTCCCTCAGTGTCGCCTGTTTGTGGTGTCCCGCATTTCTCTTGGCAAGGACGGAGACGCACGCCCCTGAGTTCCCTGCGGCCCTCCCGCCCCCTCAGGTTTCCTGCGGAGAATCCATTCCCTTCCCTGTGTTACACTGAGATTTTACCTCCTGAGCTGAGGATAGGGTTTCCTTCCTGGAGTGCAGTTTGCAGAGCTAGGAGGACAGTTGCTCCAGCACAGGCAGCGTGCTGAGACGTCACTCACCATAGGAAGTCTCTGTTCTAGATAAGGACTTCCGTGCGCATCTTTAAGTGTCTGAGGATTGTTGGTCTCAGCACTCCCTGCGCTGGACCTGAACTGGGCTGAGCCAGCTGTGCTCCGAACGGGGAGCCTGTGCCCGTGGCTGCAGGCCATGGCAGTGCGCGCAGTGCACGTGAGGCCCCGCTGAGTCCGCAGGGGTGTGGCACCCGCTCTCCATGGCAGGCTGGCTGGGGCTGTTCTCCCAGGAGAGGGTAGGTGTGCTTCCCGCCAGCTTACCGCATCCTTCCTTTCTCTGGAGGTGGAGCCGTCCCTCAAGTTGTAAGATTCACAGGGATCTCTATTTTGACACCCTCAGTGGAAGGCAGTGTTCTAAGGTGAGAAGGATGAGGGCCTGCACTCAGGCGGCAGCCAGCTCCCTGCCCTGCTGGTCACCTGCTGTGGGCCCAGCAGGTGGCTGGCCTCACTGCCCCAGACCCCATGACACGGTCCACAGAGGCCCTGTGAGGATGGCTGCAGAGGCAGAGACCTCAGAATCTGTAAAGCATTCAACTCAGGCCTGGCAGGTAATGCTGAACATGTGGGCTCTTGTCTTGTGCAGTCCTACTGGCCTGAAATGTTAGGGTTCCTTCTTGTAGTGAGTTTGAGGTAGACAAAAGTACACTTTTTTCTGAACATTTGAAAGTGTCTTATAGACATGATATTTTTAGTCCTGATGCTTTATACTGTGCATCTTCTAACAGGACATTTTCTTATATAAGCACTAGTGTCCCAGTGCACGGATTTGTGCACATTGAAAGAAAATTAATTAGAAGAAATATTTTAATATCACTATTCTCTATAATAGAAGTGTCAACCAAATTCATGTTTGACAATGACAGATTGAAACATACACATGAGATTGGTGCCAGCGAGAGCTTTATATGTATTGTGCAAGCATGAGTCAACTTAGCCTTTTATATATATAGAATGAACTTGCTTAATTAGACCTGCTTTCTGATGTAGCTAAACTTCTTCCAGCCCAGTGAAGCACCCCAACTTCTCTTTCAGGTAATTGTCAGCAACACAGCAGTAAATATCAACATGAAGCAGATCATTATTGTAGATCACACAGTGAGAACAAAGGGTAAAATATTTAACTGCAGCAGTGTTTGACTATATTCTGCACAGTGAGAGAACCTGAAGTCATTTTCAAAGTCCACCATTTCTTACTTCTTTTCAGTCGGGTCAAGTTTCTAAACTTTCTAAATCTCCATTTTCCTGCTAATGAAAAGAAAATGGGATTCCACCGAGTCTATCTACCTCCTCCAGGACTTCTGTGAGGATCAAATGAGATGAGGCACGGGAAAACGCTTTACAGACATTTGGTTAAAGTGTGAAATGTTTGCACCTGGCTACAAAGCAAGTCATGTTCCTATGCTGAAGAAACTGCAAGGAGTGTAGTCGCTGCCAAGGAGAGGGAGCCGGGCGGTTGCTATGTGACGCTATTACCTGGCGCCATAGCCACCATTGCTGGGCTAGGCTGGGCTGGGCTGGGCTGCATTTTGCACCATGGGATCTGGGCAGTGTTGGCTGCGATTTGGTGGACTGTGGCTGTGCAGGGTGGTGGTGGGGCCTGTGTCTCACTTGGGGAAGCTGAGTGTTGCTTTGTGGGTGCCAGGTCCTTGGTGCCATTTCTCTGTGCGCATCATGGCAGCTCTTGCATTGAGCGTCTGCCCCCCTGGTGGTCAGTGCACATCATAGCGACCGGTCGGACCCTTGGACACTTAGCATATTAGCCTTTTATATATATACACTAGTAGCCCGGTGCACGAAATTCATGCACTGGGGTAGGAGGGGGGGGGAAAGGGGCCCCTCAGTCTGGCCTTCACCTTCTTCAATCTGAGACCCCTCAGGGAATGTCCAACTACCTGTTTGTGCCCACACTTTTAAAAGATAACAGCTCCATTGTTTTTTCTTTCTTATGCTTAAAACCATTGAAATTAGTAGGTATTCAAAGTGTGTATACATTTTGGGGGGACACCCTGTATATTTCTAGTCAGCAGTGAAAGAAACCAACAGCAGATTTGGAACCCCAAGACAGGGAACCTCGCTCACTCCCCACGTCTCCCCACTTTACTTTCCACCTTCGTGGGCAGCAGGAGAATCAACGTTTTCTCTCTGCCACCTGCCTTCAGTATGCAAATTAGCTGCCATCTTGTTGCTTCAGGGTGGGGGTCCCCACTGGGGTGCCTGGCCAGTCTGGGTGAGGGAATGATGGCTGCTTTCAGGCTGGCGGGCAACTGAGGCTCCCAACCTCTCCTTTTTTTCTTTTTTTTTTAATTCTGGGATTTATTTACCTTCTATGGCTGTCACTGGAGCTGAGAGCCAGCTTTAGCTCTGAGGCCCGGCTGCAGCTCTGAGACCTCGGCTGCTGAAAGCAGGGATCTGGGTTTGTTTGGGTTCTATAATTGAAACACTGTTGCGATCCTGCTGGCTGAAGCCCGGCTGGCCAAAAGCAGGTTTCTGGGGAATGTTTAGCTTCTATATTTGCAACATTGTTTCTTAGAGTTGCAGCTCAGAGGCCGACAGCGGCAGGCGGGGAACCTTGGCTTCCTCCGTCACTGGAGCAAGCAAGCCTCCTATTCACTTCAGCTGCCTGGCTGCTGGCCGCCATCTTGGTTGGCAGTTAATTTGCATATATCCTGATTAGCCAATGGGAAGGGTGTCGGGGTTATGGTCAATTTGCATGTTTCTCTTTTATTAGATAGGATAGCTATCTCATTTTCACATTCAATAAATTTAATATTGAGATAATGGTAATGTGTAATAGACAGTTCATAGTTGAGTTTCCCCTAGTTTCTTTCTTTCATTCTTTTTTTTTATTCCATTCTGCCCTTGAGCCTTATTTATTGCTGCCTCCTTCGTTCATATTTGTGTTTGTCCTGGCTGCTTACTTGCTCTTCCCGAGGCTCACGCCCTTCACTCTGCTCCCAGGTCCTTGTGCAGGCTGTGTCTCGCTTGGCAGGTGCCTCATTGCATCCTTTCCTGGTAAAATGCACATTCAGGCACATTCCAGGTGGTTCCTTCCTCCCCATAGAACATTCCTTGGTCTCCTGTGGTGTGCGTGTTCCCTCCCTAAACTACCAGCTCTTGGTACTCTTGTATAAAATGATTTTATTACAGTCTCTCCTGTATTAAATGTAGAATATATGGAATTTTCCCCATTTCCTTTCTAGAACCGTGAGTGTTTTTCCCACTTTTAATTTTTTAATTTATGAGCTTCTTGAATATAGGCCGTACTGCCCATTTTCCTTATTCAGTGTTTGACCTAAATCCAGAGTACTTTACATGGTGTTTTATTGTCAGTATAATTTAACTTTCTAATTTGGAAAGATGCCCTGAAAATTCTAGTTTTCTGACATCATCTTAAAGAATGAAAAAAAAAAACAACTAAGGGATATGGACTTGAATATGTATATGGGAATAGGACCTAAGTTTTTCTACTCTTTGGGATTGTACCTACAGAGTCAGAACTGTTAACCGTGGGTTCATCTGGTCAAATATCTAGAAAGGATTGTATACACCAGCTGTGGGCAAACTACGGCCCGCAGGCCGGATCCGGCCCGTTTGAAATGAATAAAACTAAAAAAAAAAAAGACCGTACCCTTTTATGTAATGATGTTTACTTTGAATTTATATTAGTTCACACAAACACTCCATCCATGCTTTTGTTCCGGCCCTCCGGTCCAGTTTAAGAACCCATTGTGGCCCTCGAGTCAAAAAGTTTGCCCACCCCTGGTATACACAGTTGCACTGGTAAAATGGCGATGAACTTGGGGTGGTGTGTAGCCTGCTGTGTCCCAGCAGGAAGTGCTGTGGGATGACACCGAGAGCTGTAAGATCTCTTCTTTTACATCTAGGTTCGAGATGCAGCAATAAACAGCTTAGTGGAAATTTACAGACATGTAGGAGAACGTGTGAGGGCAGACCTCAGTAAAAAAGGATTGCCGCAGTCCCGGTGAGTTCAGACTTTTTTCCCTTCTTCTCTTCCTTCTACTCTTTTTCAGTTAACATTTTGGTTTGCACTTCTTCTTTTGTTGTGATAAATTTTCAAAGAATGTATGGTTAGTGGATTGGTGATAGGAGAGATTGTCCTGATCGTATGGTATGTCAGGGGTCCCTTCCCATTCCAATTCCTCAAAAGTAAGACTCTCTCACCCAGACATCTAGCCAAGTGCCAGGCCATCCCCTGATTTTATTTTTATTTTTTTAAATATATTTTATTGATTTTTTTACAGAGAAGAAGGGAGAGGGATAGAGAGTTAGAAACATCGATGAGAGAGAAACATCGATTAGCTGCCTCCTGCACGCCCCCCACTGGGGATGTGCCGGCAACCAAGGTACATGCCCTTGACTGGAATCGAACCCGGGACCCTTGAGTCCGCAGGCTGACGCTCTATCCACTGAGCCAAACCGGTTCGGCGATCCCCTGATTTTAGAAGCATATTTAAAATGGATGGATTTTGAAAAGTCACGATTCTTTTGGTTCAGATGGGTTCTATATATTATATACACACAGCACCTCGTTATAATATGTGCTTAGAATATCTTTGAGTGAGTGGAGCCTTTCTAAGAATGAGTTTGGTTTGGAAAACATCTTTGAAATGGTAGTTTTCTGTTCAGTAATGTCAGCCTCCCCGCGAAGAAGCTGGGGGTCAGCATCTTATCAGACCCAAGGCAACTTGAGTGCACAGGTGTCTCTGTTGTGTCTGAATTTAAAAATTAATGGAGAGTTGGATGTGCATAATTTGAACTGTGATGCAGAAACCTTGCACCAAATGAATTTCAAACCCCTTGCCCCGCCCATTCCTTTAAGGGAGAAAGTCATGTGAAACCCTGGGAGTTAGAGGTGGACTGCACTCACAGAGCAGCTGGTCAGAGCCTGTCCTTGTGGCCACGGCAACAGCAGAGGCCCAGAGACATGCAGTGAGCTCACACAGCCGAGTCAGAGCTGGGCCTGAAGCTCTGTTCTCTGCCTCGCCTTTTCGTTTCTTCATCCTGTTTGACAAGAGTTCACAGAGCACCTAGGCATGGGGCGGAATATTGAAGTATACAGGGGTCTTGATGTCCCTTAATTGGATGTGACAGTGGGCCCCTCACCCTAAGGACGGGGTTCCACGAGCAGCTGAGTGGGGCTGTATTCTTTCTTGCTGAGTCATGTCGGACCCGGTATCGCTCTCACTATGGGCCCTGAGCTGTGCACAAGGCAAGGAGATGGGCCGCTAACTACTCTTCATGTGCTTACAAAGGTAATCTCCGAGAATAAAGGTTTTTTGCCCATGTTTTACTAACCTCAGCCTTCTGGATTGTGAATGAATGGTGAGAACACTTATGGTGAGAGACAAAACTTAAAGACGAAACTACTGAACAATCTCTTGGACAAAATTGGAGGGAGGACACAGATGAACGGCAGAGCAGGGGCTGGAGGCAGAGGGCTGTTTGATGATGTCACGATCATTGTTGGGAAAACAGGCCTTAGGCAGTGAGACTCCTGCTCCAGGATGGCTCTCCATGCGCTGCAGCTCACAGGGGCCAGGGCCCTGAGCGAACCGGCAGCGTACACGGTGGGGTCCTGGGTGACGCCGAAGGTTGCTACGGTGAGACCTAGAGGTGGGTGCGGGAAGGAGCCGGCCCCGCAGGCCGGACGGCTGTCTGGAGACACCTGCTTGCAGGGTTGGCCCTGGGCCGTGTCTGGAAACTTGGATGTGGGGAGGATTCCCAGTGTTCCCAAAGAGCGAGATAAGAGTGGCTCTCTGTGCCCCACGGCGCAGGCCTTAGCTGAGCCCCTGCTTCCCTTCAGGGAGTCTGACAATTTGGGAAGTGCTGGGCAGAGGGTGTCTGTGTGACCAGCCCCAATAAAACCTCCAGGCACTGAGACTCTAATGAGCAGACCGCCTTTCCCAGGGGTTCCCCACCCGTTGCTGGGAGATTAACCACGTCCTGTGTGACTTCACCAGGGGAGGCTCTAGGAAGCTTGTGCCTGGCGCACCTGGTCCTCACCCCGCGCACCTTTTCCAGTTGCTGGTTTTTCTTTGTGTTCTTTTACTACGATTGTCCTGTAATAATTACAGCTGTGAGTATGACTATATGGTGAGTTCTGTGAGTTGTGTTAGCAAATTGTTGAATGTGGGAGTGGCCTAGAGGCCCCTCGGCACAGAGGGTGTTTAGGTAAGGTCCCAGAGACAGTGGATGCCAGAGCCCCAGGCATGCGTGTCGTGTGCTTTCTGCTAATCTTTTTTTTTTTTAATTTGAGAGAGAGAGAGAGAGAGAGAGAGAGAGAGGTCAATCAGTTGCCTCTCGTACACGCCTGGACTGGGGATCAAACCCGTAACCTGGGTATGTGCCCTGACCGGGAATCAAACCCACCACCTTCTGGTGTATGGGGCAACACTCCAACCAACTGAGCCACACCAGCCAGGGCCACATACTTTTAAAAAATATATAAAAAGCTACAGAAGAGCTGGGCCTCTGTGAATAGGAATGGGGTTTTTTGCTATCTCATGTTATCTAAAAATTTCCCCCCTAATTCTGAACCAAATGGAGAAGGTAGTCCTGTTAAAATGGACACACATGGTCACAGCCGTTCTTGTGAATGCACAGGGCTTGGAGAATGAGGCTGGCGGTTCTTTAAAAACGTGCTCTATTGAAAGAAGCTGAAACCAGGTTTCTTTGGCTTTATGGCAAGACAGTTACCTAAGGTCTAGCACTGTGAGTGTCGGAGGCTCTGGCTGCCACCTTTATTTTGTCGGGGATGTGTCCAAATGGAACGAGACTTGTAAAGAATCCTGTTGTTTGGGAAACTCAGTGTCTGCTCTGTGTGGCTCCGATGGTTGACTTGAGTACTTGACTATTCTAGACTCTGTTACATCATTGTAGATTTTTTTGTTATTATGTGAGCATAACAGATTTTTCAGCTTAGCAGGATTCCATAGGACTAATGAAATCCTGTAGAATTTGCTTAATGCTTTCTAAAACTTGAGTTTTGTCCTGGAATGAAAATGTTGACCTCCTATGAGTTTGCTCATTGAGAACTACATTTGAGAAGAAGGTTAACTATAACTCTAAAAAAATACATGATGTAAAAGAATGCCTTCATCATACCAGCTAAATAACTTTAACAAGAGCAGACTCATCTGAGCAGCAGTTCTCTTTGTTCATTCACAGTTGGGAAGTGCCCGTCACGTTGGAGGAGCTGGAATTAGGGGTTTGGGTCACGTGTTAAAAGCTGTTTTAGCCTTGTTGTCTGGTGGCTAAAGTCATATTTGAGCCAAAAAGTAAAGCAGAGATTTTCAACCAAGTCTCCATGTTAGCAGGTCTCTCCCCCCACACAGGATCTCAGCATTGCTGAGCTGTGAACTTTAGTTAGGATAGTGTTCGGCCATTTTACATTGTTTAACACATTATTTTCGCAGTTCATGCACGTGATATGTGCAGAGAGTAAGTGCACAGTTTGTAGCTATCCGGTGTGGCATGCCATATGGTTGCGTGAAGTTTGTGTGGCACGCTGGGCACCCTCTGTCACTCCTGTGGCTTACTTTCATAGACACGTGCTTTCAGCACGCTATGGCATTCCCTGTCCCGGTGGATATGCCAGGCGATATTTGTATTTGTGGTATATTTAGTTTGGAAGCTATGGATAAAAGACTGGTGTTAAGTTTGTCTCTGGTACCATCATTTGGGAACCAATTGCCTGGAACAGCAGCTGCTTAAACCTGGAGAAACGTTAATTTATAGAGGGAGCCGATGCATGCCATCTGATGCACTGTGGCCATGTGGTAAACTTACTGTGACCCTGCAGTTTTGAATAGTTCTCAATGTTTGGTTTGCTATTTCAATCTATTTAAAAATTTATGGACATTCACTAGACATTATTACTTACTGATTGTATAGTTAAGGGAAAAATGGAAACTTTCTCGTTGTAAATTTGCTTGCACTTGCTAAAGCTTTTAGTGCCCACGGCAAGAGCAGGATGAGAGATGTGCTCGGTAATGTCTGCTCTCATTTCTAAGTTTGTTCCTGCCAGTGATGTATGCAGAGAGAGCTGACGAGGTGGATAAGAGATGGAAGAAAGGCAGGTCCTTGCCCCTCTGCCATTTTTCTGCAGAGGCAGACACTGTCACCTGGCTTACGGCTGCTTTTGTACCTGTTGCTCTGTCTCCAAATACTGTGCATGTACTGCTAAACCTTAGGTTTTTTGTCACAAGAACTTTACTTTGCATCATGGAGGGTAAATTTCAGCTCTTTCTTTCTAACCTCCCTCATGTATAGCTGCCATCTCCACACCCACCAAATATAGTCATGCTTTAATTTTGATGAGAACATTTAGTTTATATTATAGTTAAGTATGCCATGCACTATCTATATTTGGTGAATTATGATTACTTTACCTTCCCCCCCCCCCATCCTTTTGTTTTTCCTGGGTTATTAATCATATTTCATGTGCATAGTGTCCACATCTTACCCTGAGGACTGTCTGTGTACTGCCAGTTGTGGACGTGACCTTGAGCCTGTCCGGTCTGCCGGGCTGCCTCTCTGCTTTCACAGCCTCAATTTTATGTATCCTCCTGGCAGCTCTACCAGCGTGTGGGGCTTCGCTTCTCCTTTCTCTGCAGCGGCATCTGGTGTTTTTTGTGTGTTTTTTTTTGGGGGGGGGGGGCACCGTGTCTTTTTTGATTTTCTCTCTTATTTTAGTTATGCATATCCTCCATTAGCTTTCTCAGAAAAGATGTGGAGGAGACTTTCTTTGAGTCTGAGAAGATCTTTATTCTATTTTGATATTGGTAGTTTGTCAGGGTTTAGAAATCTAGGTTGAAAGTCATTTTCATCCAGAATGTTAAAACTAATGTCCATGTATTCCAGCTTTTAGTGTTTCTTTCTACTGAGAAGTCCAAAGTCATTCTGATTCTGCAGTCTATCAAAGTAGGTAATTTTGATTTTCTGTCTCTAGAGTTTGTCTGA